ATCTATCTATCTATCTATCTATCTATCTATCTATCTATCTATCTATCTATCTATCTATCTATCTATCTATCTATCTATCTATCTATCTATCTATCTATCTATCTATCTATCTATCTATCTATCTATCTATCTTTCAAGCAAAGCAAACGAGTTATTGTTTTAAAGCATATTTTACGATATATTTATATATATATATATATATATATATCCTTATATCCTTATCTATATCTAGGTGGCCTGTGAATGAATATGTATGTGAATATATTCTGTCCCCATGAAAAACACTCTTACACGCACACACACACACACACACACACACATACATACAGACACAGACGAGAGCATGGAAGATTTAAGATCAAGGGGGTAAAGACAAGACGAAAAATTACATTCCACTCGATCTTTTCCCATTTCTCAGTGTTTGTCATTTCCAGCCTGAACGAACTGATAAGTCCAATAAATATTCCACATCAAAAAGCATCTTAAGGAGGTCGCTGTGCAGTTCCAGGCATCAGCTGGCTGGAGTTCTGTTGACTTGCATTCATGCCCGGAATGTTGTTTTTTTTTCTCTCTCCTCAGCTCCGCGGCTCATTCCGGCACCAGCAGACCCCACTCCACCCCGCCCCCCTCCATCCAGTCCGTCTGCCCCCTCCTCCTCCTCCGCCGCACCGGGGGGCGTCGGCGGCAACACCAGCCTGTCCCCGAGCACCCCCCCCACCCCCACCCCCACCCCCACCACCTCCTCCTCCACCTCCAGCCCCAGCACCACCCAGGCCCTGCTCACCAGCCTGAGCGGCCCCACCGACAACACCACCCAGGCCCGCACCGAGGTGTCCTGGACCCAGTTCAACGTCATCATCCTGGCCGTCATCATCCTGGTGGTGCTGCTGCTGCTGGGCTTCGTCGGGGGGGTCTACACCTACCGGGAGTACCAGAACCGCAAGCTCAACGCGCCCTTCTGGACCATCGAGCTGAAGGAGGACAACATCAGCTTCAGCAGCTACCACGACAGCATCCCCAACGCCGACGTGTCGGGCCTGCTGGAGGACGAGGCCAACGAGGTGGCGCCCAACGGCCAGCTGGCGCTGACCACGCAGGGGAACTGCTACAAGGCCTAGCGACCCCCCCCACCCCACCGCCTCCGGCTCCACGGGTCCCATAAAGCTGCTGGAACATACCAAATCTCGCCGTCACCCCCGCTCCCGCGCAGCCCCCCCCCACAACACCCCCCCCTCCCCCCCCGACGGAGGTCAACCAGACGCGATCAAACAACAGAGACGGAATTTCTCCACCCGCTCCCATTTCGATTTTGGTCTTTTCGTTTTTGCGTAAAATGGGCGACGAGCGGAAAAGGGATCCAAAGACAGAACGTTTTTTTCCTTTTAAGTTCAGAGAAAGGGCCCCCGATTGGCTCGGAGCGGAACGGCGGACCCCCCCCCACCCGGATCCTAGCATTACATATATTTTTAAAACGGACTTTAAGCAGTTTAAGTTATGACCGGATCTCTTGTACAGCGATCTTTAAACTGAGACAATGATTGTTATTTAATGAGTTTGTATTCGTTTCTTATTTATTGGTTCTCGATTAGTTATTATTGGGAGAAATGCTGCACATGTATGATGTTCATTTACAGTGTTTTTATCTCGTGTGCTGTTGAACGGTATGTTGAATTGGCCAATATGTTTTGTTTGTTTTGTTTTGTTTTTTAATGTAAAGTATATGTGCATTGGAGAGAGTCTGAGTGGAAGAAAAATATTGCTGGCACAAAGGATTAATGACCTCACCTTTTTTTGTTTGGTTTTGTTTGTTTAGTCTCCTGTCTTTTAGCAAATTGAGCCAGCTCTCTTGAAGCAAGTAAGAGGAGTGTTTCCTTCAAAGAAACAGAAGCTGAGGCGTTTTTAACTGTACCATCGGGGCCCTACAGCTGGGAAGCGCTGGGAAGCTGGGATTGCCCATTCCCTGTGTGGGTTTAGACTAGTCGGGCGCGCTTCTTTTTATGATGCTGAATGACGAAAAACGGCTAAACACGGAACCCAACTCCTCAGGTACCGGCTCTCTCCCCAACGCGATCACTGTAAATAGTAATTATTGATGTACAAATCAATGTGAATAGTAGCACTATCATTTGTACAGGTAGAATACCGTGTGCGCACTGTCCACAAACTTTTCACTCCCCTCCCTGTTACGATGGCTCCGTCCCCCCCCCCCCCCATGGCTTTTTCTATCGTCGTTTTTATTCTTTACGCCCAGCAGACCTTTCCACAATCTCGCAGCTGCAGGACTGCAAAGTGCCCAGAACTCAGAAGAAAGAACAAAGGCAATGTAAATACTTCCCAAAAGTCAGAGCTCAACTCTTAAATAAAGATGGGTTTAACTGTTTTTCCTCTGTGTCGCTCATCGTCTTTGACTCATGTGCTACACGTAGATCTGTAAAAGATGGATTCCCGTTTAAGTCATTTTCTTGAAGGAATTTTCTCGAAAGGCTTCTGTCAAACAAATTAAATCTGCGATTGTCCAGATTTACAGTTCTGCTAAATAAGCGTTGTTATTTCAGGGAAATATCAAATACGTGCAGCAGTTTATCTGAGAAAAAGTTTGACCTTATATGGAACGAAAATAAATTAGTGGGGGAAAACAGTTTAGAAAAAATAAACTGTGATCTGCTTTGAGGTCAGTCATGGCTCTGAACCCCGCTTGTTCACAGGCCAAGAACTCTTAGTTTTCCGCCATTTCTTTAACTCTTCTCCAGGATCACACACCCACATGTGATCAGAGAGACGCCTTTTATGGCAGTAAATGATTAAATAGCATTTGTAAGGCGGAGGCCTTTGTGACCGGCGGACAGGAGTTTGGAGGACACGTCAAACCTACTGTCAACACACCCCAAACTGACCCCGAATCGGGCCGTGTGCTGTCTGCACGCGTTGCTTAATGCTGACCGGGCTGTGGGTGCTTCGTACCTCAGTCTTAACCGTAGTGGTTCCTCATAATCGACTCCGGTTTGCGTCAGCCTGCTCGTAAAAGCAGTCAAAACACACACTCCTGATGTCATCAGGGCCTGTGATCTGCTGACAGACATGTTGGGCTTCTTTACTCATGAGCGTTGCATATTTGAGCTTGTTGATTTCTTAATAGGTTTTTTTAAAACTAATACTAATTCTAATACTAATCATGACCATCTCTGGTTTGGATCAGACACAGGCAGACTTTGTTCTTGGTACTGATGCGCCTTGTGTTGTTTCCTTATCTCCAGTTTCTTGTTAGTGTTTTTACAGGCTTCCAGCAAACCCCCCAGCTTGCGGGACAGGGAGAGCCCGGGATAAATTCAATAATAAAAAATAAAAAAATCAAATGATGTCATGTGCAGTCAATTCATTTTAATGTGTTTGACAGTTGGTGTCGTGCGTTGTTTGGGATTGGGTCCCTGTTTTGGGGTTGGGTTTGAGCGCGTCGCCGCAGAAAAAAAAGACGCACCAACCCTCCTTTTTATTTTTCTCTTTTCTTTTCCTTTTTTTTTTCTCTCTCTCTCTCTCTCTCTCTCTTCACAGGATCCAACGAAAACTCAGAAAGAGGAAGTTCGGGCGAGAGTGTTGGCGCTCGGCGAAACTCGCGTAAAAAACGGGACTGGCTGCCTGAGCGGGTCGCCTTTCCACGTGGGCGTCTGGCCGATAAATGGGGATGGCGTGAGGCAGCGCGCAGCCGACTGTTGCCTGGAAAGCCAGAGGCATGGTTGCGACGGGCTGCTCCGGACTTCGGGAGGAGGACAGGGACGCGGAGGCGGGCGCACCGCTCCGGGGCCCGACGCGCGCCTGGAGCCGGGAGCTGCGGGGCGCACGGCTCTGGTCCTTCGTCGTCCCCCTGGTGCTCTTCGCGGCCGTCCTGGTTCTGCTGATCGCGGCCGGAGCCAAGACGAGGTGCCCACCGTCAGCTGACCACCAGGTGAGTGGCGGAAAAAACAAAAACAACAACAACAAAAAACAAAAAACAAACAACCTCTCGGTTTGCGTTTGGAACGCCTGAAGTTGATTTCACTCCGCAGCTCGACAGTGAACTCGATCAAAGTCCATTTCCTTGTGCAGCTTTCTTGGAGATCTAGTGGATTTTTCTCCCTCTTCTTCTTTTTTTCTCTCTAAGAATATCCAGCAAAGTGAAACCCAAACGTCTGACCGGTGCGCGCGCCGCACAACTCAGCTCCACGCGGCTTTCATCTAAAAAAAATATAGCCTAATCAAAAAAACAATTGCATACTTTAATTATAGGAAAAGACGTTATTGTGTGTGTTAAACATAAAGAACTTCTGAACAAAATTCAGGGGGGAAAAAATGGAGAAAGAAGAAGACTCCGGTTCATCTGTTCTGTTCCATGTTTGGAAAAAATTTAAATATTTCTGTAGTTTTGTTAACAAGTGGCTATTCCCGAGGACATTTCTGTTTGAATTCTCCATATAAATGCCATTGTTGTGGTTTTTGTTTAGTTTATATGCTAGGAAGATTACTACAGGAACTCCAGACACATAAACCTTCACTATGTTTCAATGAGAGTGTGTGGGTGTGTGTTTTGGTGTGTGTGGGTGTGTGAATTATTGGCATTTTTTCCCTCCTACCATAACTTGACTCTGCCTGCCTTTACTGTCTCTCAGACGGGGATGCAGCCCAGCTGGATTTCACCAGGTAAATACCTTGTCCTGGAACAAAGGGGGAGGAAATACTTGCATGTTTGCTTTAAAATGACCATGATTGGTTTTCTTATTTCTCTTGCAGACATTCCCAGAGCCAGGCTAACAGGTACGGAAAACACCCCAAAAGCACACAGAGGGAGCAGTGGACTCATGGGTTATTGTATGAATCTTCTTTACTATAATAATGAGGGGAAAAAAACAGCAGTTTGCAAGAAAATTCAAACTTTCTAAATTTGATGATTGAACAATGAGCTGTAATGTGGATTTGCTACATATAAAACATTGTTGTGGGTTGATTGGACGTTCCAAATTGCCCTTAGGCGTGAGTGTGAGTGTGTGTGGTTGTGTGTCTCTGTGTGGCCCTGCGATGGACTGGCGGACTGTCCAGGGTGTACCCCGCCTCTTACCCGTTGACCACTGGGATAGGCTCCAGTTCCCCCCCCCGTGACCCCATCAGGGAATAAGCGGTGTTGATGATGGATGGATGAAAAACATTGTTGATGTTTTGTTTTTTTATTACATAATGTGAAAATGACTTCAAGAACACCAGTTGCATCAGTCCGGTCTTCTTTCAAATATGAGAAAAAACTGAAAAAATATCAAAATATTTCTTCTTGGGTCAGTTTGATTTGTCAAATCAAAACAAATGCAACCTTAGAGTTGTTTACGTTTTTATGTGGGATGATGAATAGGAGAGCTCGACTCTAACATTAGTTTTGCCTCTCTTGTTGTATTTCGTTCCTGACCAGCAGCTCCCAGGGAGGAGAAACCGGAGGGAGAATATCTTCGATGGCAGTTCGATCTGGGCCACGCATACTGCCGGGGAGGCTTCAACTGCTCCAGCGAGCACCTGTTGGTTCCCAGGGAGGGCTACTACAGGGTTTCCCTGCAGCTCACCTACGAAGGGGAATGCACCAACGACACCTCTGGGAAGAGGCTCGTCCAGGAGGTGTACGTCTTCGCGGAAGACTATCCCCAAGACGTGGTGCTGCTGTCCGCCGTCGACACGGCGACGTGCGCCGCCAGCTCCTGGAGTAAATCCCTCTACACGGCCGGAACGTTCAGGCTGAAGGCCAAAGACAAACTGCGCGTGAAGGCCAAGCAGCGCCGGCTTTTGGTCAAGACAGAATCCCAGGTGTTCTTCGCAGCCGAACTGCTCCCGGAATGAAAGGGGCCGGGCCAGAGGTTGACTGTTTCCCTTTTTTTTTTGTTTTTCTCCGGTTGAGTTTGACCGTTCCCCTTTTTTTTTGGGGGGGGGGGGTGGTTGTCGCTCACCATAACCTCTCCCGGCGGAATCGGAAGCAGTGAGTAATTACTGGTTTATCCTCTCGACAGCAAGTCACGGGCTGCGCGACGCCAAACTGTCTCCAGCTCTCGTAGATGCACACGCAGCTTTAGCCCTGATTTTGAATATAATCCCATATGCTAAACGGCGCCTAGATCTCCTTAGCTCGATTCACACCTCGTTGTTTCAGATGCATTTTCGAAATCGCAGATGTTCATTGACTGGAAAGTTACAAAACAATGTCCAAATTGAGGATCTGAAGGGAATTATGTCGAAAAGGTGTGGTCTGAGAGAAAATGGTGAATTGAGTTGCTCAAAATATTGTAATCTGGGCTGTTTTTAATCAGGTTAAGTAGCTGTTACTGAAAATGGCAAGAAAGAGAGAAAAAAAGATGCTATATATATCTATATATCAGGTGATATATTTAATATATTTGTCATTTTAAAACGCAAATGTGAACCGAAGCATCTTCCTTAAACACGGCCATGAAATCACAAGACTGGATGAATGAGAGCCTGCAGATAGACGATTAACCTAGTAGGGCGGTAAACCCCCCTGTGAGTGAGAGGAACGCTGATAGTGTGAGAAAAAGCACTAAAAAGCAGACATCTGAAAAGCCAAACTGTGTAAGTTTGCAGACCCTCGAGGGAACTGTTATTTTTCACTGTGTGCCATTTACAAAGCAGGCTTACAAAGAGCACCAAAGCTATGCTACAGGGATGTTTTTGTCTTAATTCCTAACAGTTATGTCAATTTAAGAAGTTTAAAAAAGGATTTTACAAGCTAAACACCTTTTTTAAGATTCTTGATTGTGTGTGTTTGTTCTGTTTTGGGGTGTGAAGGGGGTGGGAGTGTGTGTCACCGTGGGTTAGAGTCCCGGTTAGAGCTGAACTCTCTGGTGACGCGTAGCGGGAGCATCAACCAGTGCTTCCCGCTACCTGAAGGATGCTGAGGATGGAACCGCTTTTGTCCTGTTGTTCTTTTTTTAGAAACTTTGGGCTTTTATTCCACATCAACAGGATGTCCTGTTAGGTTATAATTTTGCACAAATGAGAGGCTTGCACAGAACTGTTTTGTATATGCGTACTTCTAAGCTATATATATTTTGAATGTAATAAATGTAATAATTTAATTCCTTATCGGCTTTGCAGTGTCGCAGTGGCGTTTTCCTTTTTTTGGTGGAAAAAAAACTCTCATGCAATATGTGAACCGTTCCTGATTGTACTTGTTTGAATTGTCTTTGTTTGTGAATGGCACAGGGTTTCTGAAAAATACATTAAAAAAAACTTGATGGTGCAAAGACTAAATTTTCTTTCTTTTAATGTGGGATTGTGGTCTTAAATAAACTTTTTTTTTCATTTCCAACTTTCTTTGTTTACCTACGCAAACTACTATATGACTGAGTACATTATTTAAAAAAAATAAACTGAAAAAAACTGAATAAACTCACTGTATCTACTGTTTATTTACTTTCAAAGCTGGCATGCACTTGAAACTGCTTAGCCAGCCAACTTAAGCTCCCTCCATGCTTTTTTTTTTCCCCTACTACCCTGCTGAACAGGCTGAGCTTTCCTCACACACGCCGGGCATTTATACTGGTTCATCTTGTTCATTTGCAAAGTGATATAACATTGACACACTTCTTGTTCTTATTTGCAGAGTTCCCCACACACGTGGTTGGTACGAAATACAAAGTGAAGGTTCTCGGACAGCCTTGGATTCAAATCTTAGAAAGCATATTGGAGAGAAAACAGTTCCAGCTCGTGGTAGTGGGCTTTTCGGTAGCATTGCATTGTGTTTTTTCCCTTTTTTTTTCTCCCATGATTCGCTATTCTCTCATGGGGTGTCTTTAACAGTTCTTGGCTCCTCTTCAGTGTCCTCTTAGCCACCGGCAGGTTGAGTCCTGCTCTGGCAGATTTCAACATTTAGCTGATTTGCCTTTGTAAAACTAGACTGAATCGGAGATTTGATTTGATTGGATTTGATAGGATTTTGATTTGAAGTGTATTTTCCCCCGAACTGGGCTGGATTTGAAGCGCATTGAGATGTTTGGCGTCGCATACATGGATGGTTCCCGTCACTGACGTTGACGAGGCCTCCTCATGACTGTCAGAGTAGTTTCCCAACTGTAAACTTTACGTCTCTTAAGGCTGATGTAATCAGCGAGACAGTCAACTGACAGAGACTAAATAAACTTTCCTTTTTTAGTGGTTTTGAAGATGGATTAAGAATAAGGCGGAGGAAAAAATGTAACACCTCTATGGACAAGATAAAGTCCCCATCAGTTTAAAGTTGTTCCTCATTTGAGGACTAAGGACTCTATGAAGCTTGTTTAGGTTTTGAGTGAATGAGTGATTCTGGAAAGATAAGGAATGGAGGAAAAAAATCCCAGGACCCAGTAACCACTTTTACACTTAAAAACGGGGTGAGTCACATACAGGGCTGCCTCACCGTGCAGTGGCCGATCACTGATGTGACTCACTGACTGGCTTCAACCTGAAATATCTTTGGAAAAAAGTAGTAAAGCAAAGGGGGCGGCCCTTTACCTTACTACTTTTTTCCCCTCCAGCAAATATCAGTCTGGTTTGTGCGTGCACATGGCCGTTCATTTATCCATTTCCTTTTCCAGAGCCTCTCCCAGATGTCATTGGGCGGGAGGCAGGGACACGTCAGTCCATCACGGGATCACACACTTTCAAACCAATAATATTCAGACGAATGTGAACGCCTGAATAAAGCCGATTTTTAACTAACTTTAAAAAGAAAAAACTGTACATATAGAGTCCACAGTTGTCAATACATTTACATAGAAGGATTTCAAAAAGTTTTGGTTAAAAGTGTATCAACAACACACACAAATACGTTCTGTAATTGCTTTTTTCCAACCTGTTTGGTCATTATATTTGTTCAATGTGATGGGGCTAAATGTTGCCTTGGCACAAAGCTCTTAAACCCGTAAAAATCCATAGACTGGAAATTATGTTAATGACAGAATCTGTTCTGAATCAGCTCTGTTCAAGTAATGTCTCAAAGCCAAACATCGCTTTCAAACAAGTGATCTAGTGTGGGGTATGTCTGTGTTGGCCATCCTTCCTGAGCTGTCGGATACCGTCCAGGACAAATAGCTGTTCCTGGAAAATGGCGCCAATTTGTGTTTGGTTTACCGACAAAAACATCTATAATAATTCGGCCACAAGGAGTTTATTCACAAAACAAACTGGGATCTCTGTTGACCGTCCCAGTCAGACCTCTGGAAGGAGTGGGGGCTCAACGGGCAGATTTTCAGGCATCTATTTTCTCACCTAGGTGCAGCATTCCAGCCCAAGCCTTTCAAATACAGAGATCGTTTTTTCAGCAACAGATATCAATTTCGCCCAAGTTCATATGCGTAGAAATACACATCTTAAATGTTTTTATGTCTCCTTGGAGTCAATTGGACCCCATTTGATGTTTAACATGCAAAATCATGATCATTTTTAAAATTTGTGTGTCATATTTCATGATTTCTCCTAATTTAATGGATATAGTGAAGCATGAAATGATCACGGTTATATTTTGAATGCATATTGCACATGTTGGTGTTCCTCTGGGGCCAATCTGACCCCAAGCCGTTTAGCCAAGCGAAAGCTGTCTGTGTGTGTGTGTGTGTGTGTGACGTACGTGTGGCCTGATGGTGGCACTAAAGAACAGGTCAGAATGTGACTCATAAAAGGGCTTATTCATGTATTCAACAAATAAACAAAGTGCCTGACCTTAAAAACTTGGTTAGTAATTTTCAGTAAATAATTTTTCTGTGGAAAAATATCTGTGGGGTCAATTTCACGCCAAGGGTAAAATGTGTGAGAAATATTTGAGGTTGATAGGCGGTTTCAGAAAGAAGACACACCTCTGTTCTGTATAAAATGACTGTCTAACACAAAATTACCTGGAAACTCTGAGTGTTTCGAGTGATGTGATTCAAGGTGAAGTTTATATGTGAACTTTAGGTCTAAAACTCTTTTTTTTTACCCAGACATTTAAATAATGTCCACCACAACCAGAGCTGTCAATCAGCTATTTAGCGTTAAACCTCAGAACCTGATCAGTCTTCTAATTTTTACAGAAAAACCCCTAAAAAAACAATAAAAAAACTTACAATTGGGATCAAAAAGGAGAAAAATATTAAAGTTATGGCAGCAGAACAGAAATCTGAGGACCGTTCCATGCTGAACGCATTTTGTTTCCCAAGGGTGGATTAATGAGAAAGCCCCCTTGATTATCCAATAACACTTATTTATTTTGGTTACAAAACTTGACGAGTATCCAATAATGCTAAACCTGACCGAGGGATGGGGAAGAAAGGAAAGCAAAGAAAGAAAAACTACCCCCGAAAAGGGGGAAAGATCCTTAATACGGAGGGAGAAAGAAAAAAAAAGCACTGTACAACCAGCTGCTATGTCTGTCAAAGACTAAAAACATCATGTGGTCTCTGCGGTCTCCGTCTCTCCAAACGGACTCGGGGGAAGACAAAAAAAACAAGTAGAAAAAACCACAAGCAACAATAGTCATTAACAAGCATCTCAGAGTTGGCCAGCAGCTGGAAAGAGGCTTAAAGAAGTGTCTGGGTGAGGTTAAAGATGCAATAAACGGGTTTCACACAGATTGTTGCTCAGTCATGCATGGAGACTCAGACCACCAGCAGCCTACCCTGTGGGCAGTGCCCTGAGACCCAGTCCACCAGCAGCCACCTTGAAGAATAGAACCCAGGAAGATGAACACAGAGACAACTAAGCAATCTGCCCACCAGGCCACAGAGGAAGCCCCTCTAACAGAGCCCCCCAAGACCAAGGGCCAGCCCCCCCGAGTAGCCTCTGGCTGCAGTCTGCGGGACGCCTCGGTTGGATATCCTACTCCTCCCACATCCAAGTCGGCCATTTTGATTAGGTCATATGACTAGCAGCTTTGTGAGGTGGAAATGAAACTTTACTGTCTATACGAAATCGGAAGACAAACAATGTTCTGACCCTAACCTTGACCCAAACCCTAACCCTAACCCTAACCCTAACCCTGACCCTACCCCTGACCCTAACCCTCCACCCTTCATAATTGTGAGAAATAAATATTTTTTGGTTAAACTTGTTTGGACTTATTGTACAAACCTATTTAACATACACTATTTTAACATAATATTATGTATAGAGTTGAATTCAGTGTTTGCAAGATTCATTTCACTATTTTTAAATGAATGTCTATGTTGCCATGAAGCAATTCCGATGTTCTTGCCTGGGATCTTCCTATTGGTGACCTAACCAAAATGGCCGACTTGGATGTGGACAGATTTGGATATCCATCCTTGGCTTCCTGCAGTCGATCCAGACAACCAAATGCCACCTATCAACACGTCCCCCAACGCCACTGACTCAGTTCCGCTTTCTGAGTGGCTGGTTTCTGCAGCAGGATATAAGTCACCTCTATTTTGGGACCCATTCCCAGGAAACGGGTGATCGCCACACCCCAACTGTCGGACATATTGACCATTATTAGTCAGTCTTTATGTACGAACCAACTCACCTCGTGTTTCCTGCACATTACTGAGTTACAGTAATGGAACTTGCAAGTCAGAGTGATAATCAGCTTTTGACATCCTCATTTTCCATTGCTCAGCAATATTTTTGTCTCAATTCTCAAACTGAACGAAGGCAATCAGCGCTCCCACCATGGGACCCAAAGGCCAGTGTGTCAGCAAATGTTGCATGTGGAGATCGTACGGTTTTGAATGAAAAAGAGGCCGATCGTTGCCATTTTCGTTTTGGTTTCGTTATTAGACTCCTGGTTGGAGCGTGTTTTCTTTCATTTTCTCGGAATATTTTCTCTTCTCGTTTTAGGTTTTCGCAAACCGCAAAAAACACACACACACACACACACACACACACACACAAGGGCTCAGGCGCGACAGAAAACGTGGGCAGGTGGGGCACAGTAAATAAAGAAGAATTAAGATAATTAAGATAAACGACAGCGGCCACATCTTCCGTCTGACCCCCGCCAAGTCCAGCCAGGGCAGGACGCCGACAAGCCAAGGTCCACAGGATTAAAAAAAAAAACATAGCAAGGCCACAAGGTGCTGGATAGAGCTCTTAAAACTAAGTTAGGCTATAAAGACAGGCTATGCTGAGGAGCTAGGAAATCCACAAACCAAGCAGGATGCGAACATGTGCCCATTATACTGCAGGTTAGGGCCCCAGGGCTCTTAGCAAAAGCATCTATTTTTGAGTGAAAGATGCATATGTTAAAGTCAGAAGGAATGCAGTCCATAATAATATGTCATCATCGTTTTTTTTTGGAGCAACATTCT